TAATCAAGAGCATAAATAGATTCTCCCTGGAGTCATCATCCGATTGCTGACATACATTCGTTTCTATTGAAATGACATCATAAATACATTCTAATGAGAGAATTGAGAGGGGTGAGATGTACAACTTCAAGAACACGGTATACATTGCTAGCAGTCTATAAATTGACAGCCAGTATTTGTGGTTGAGCTTTAAAACAACTCCCCTTGGAACTGAGGTAAGTATTCTATTGGTCTTGTATGGGAACGATCTCCCCTACAATGTGTCCAAAAAACCTAGCCTTATGATGAACTTTAAAAGGCACTGGCACAGATATTCTTCAAGATCAGAAAATAAGTATTTCCCTGTTTTGCTCTTTCCTGTTGCAAAAAATAGGCCCTACCGACGCTGCAACCCAGACTACATGTGTTAGGAAAAGTTATCTCTTCTTCATTCAACACGTCACACATCACTTTTTCAAATACTTGGTATTTTACGTGGTTTCTGGCCAAGGTCCCTCTTTTGAGCTCTTTTTGAACCTGTGGCCTGACAGCTTATCCTGCTTCAGAGTCTTAGGAGGAAAAACTAGTCCCTGGAAATCAAGTTTGTGAGTGAGCTTAATGGAAGATTTATGCGTGTCACCTGTGTGTTTAGGAGAAAGGCACTTCTTGGGCTCATTTAATCCTGTCCTGGTAAATTTCTGTTGGAATGAATACTGAGGGAACACTGATCCTACATCTATAAAATCAACATGTCCTGGGAGGCTGCTGATGCACATGACATTAGCCCTTGGTTTCAGCCACCTTCCCCTGCTTCTAGCGTTGATCCAGTGGTGGCTGATGGATGGAATGAAAGGAAGAAAACCCGCACGTGCTGAGCAGCGTGTACAGATGACTCAGTGCACCTTCAGTTCCTGCTATAGTAACAGGAATTAAAACTCCCCTTAAAAGGTAGGGGCCCCGAGCCAGGCATTTAAAACCAGGGCTCCACAAACACACATAGAGACGTGTACCTGGAGTGAACAAAGAACAGTTTGGACTGCCTCACTTACCTGCAGCCAGGGATGCAGCGTTATGCTCCAAGGGGAAGAGGCGGGGCTCGCAGTCGCCAAGGAGATCATCGCGACGCAGCCTTGAAACCAGGACCTGAACCCTGTTTGCCTGGTGACAAAATGATCGATAAGTGCATTCGTGTCAACCACCAATGGAAGGTCTAGCTCTAGACGGGAGGCCCTGAGTGGGCCCAGTCATAAAATTACCTGACAGAGCCGAGTTCAGAAGGAGAAGAAATAGATAAGGAAATACCCCTGGGTAAAACAACGACTCCGGCACCTGCTGGCTCCCTCAGTAGAGCAGGGGACTCTTGATCTCAGGGGTAGGACCTTGAGCCCCACTGCTGGCTGTAGAGAGGTGTAAAAATGAAAGAACCAGATGGATTTGCAAAAGGCCTCTTTGCTGGTCACTGAAGTTACTAAACTCAAGAGGACCAATTCTAGGGGCACCTGAGTGGCTCAGTTGGTTAAGCTGTGAAACCTGACTCTTAATTTAGGCTCAGGTCGTGAGCTCATGGTTCATGAGACGGAGCCCCATGTCTAGCTACCCATTGACAGTGCAGGGCCTGCTTGGGATTCGCTCCTTCTCTCTCTCAAAATAAATCAGTCAACTTAAAAAGATAAGACAAATTCTAGACTTTACCCCATCAGAGAAGATAAGGACATTAAAAGAAATGAGCAATTAAGAGAGACAGAATTCACCACCAGGCTCCAAAATATATCTAGTAGGCGCTTTCGAAGAACATGGAGGAAATGGCAGAGAAGCAGTATTTGAAGTCACAATAGCTGAGAATCTTCCAGAGCTCAAGAAGGATAGGAGTCTTTAAGGAAATGGTCCCCTGAGAGGAATTTCCAACATCTGGGAAGGCAAGAAGGGGCCTCTGTAGAGTCATTGATATTCTTTACAGCCCAGCTTTGGGGAGCCCTGGCAGATTCAAATAAACCGTTTCTGGTTTTCACTGGCAAACATAAAAACAGAAATGTAATCATGTTGTATACACCAAGCCATGTTTTCTGAACAAAGACACTTAAAATGAACTCATTAAAACAAAAAAAAAAAAAGAGCTCTTTGGACAGCTAGATCCAGAAGATCAAGATACCAGGGAAGACCTCTCTAGAAAATGTAGTCACTTACCTGTATCTCTGAGAAGAGCACGTCAGAAGATGGTAATCGTTTGCGGTCCTGTCCTCAAGTCCACATCTAAAAATAGTGTTTTCAGAAAGAAGAATCTTTGAAGGGGATTCTACGTTAAAAGGTGGTATTAGTTGGGACTTTTCGGCAAAGTTGGATTGCTTGTAGTGACTGCAAGGAGGAAGAAAGGTGATTCCTATCAGATGAAACCTTGTAAACACTGGATGCTGCCTCAAGTTCGCAGAAACATTTTTCAAGAGTCAGGCATTGGATTTAATTAACATCAATAACTACATATCCCGGTTCCCACCTTCAGGACTGACGTGCAGAGTGTGGCTTAGGGTAAACTTGTTTTGAGAAGTTGTCTGATTACGGCTTGGTCAAAGCAGCTTGCCGTGAAACAGTGCAAACACAGCTTTCCTTGAAGCGTGATGGCAGATAGACAGGATTTCAGTCTAAAAGATCACGTATTGATTTCCCACGTGACTTTCCACCACTTCTAGAAACCCTGTAAAGTTAGGTCCAGGATAGAGCTTTACAAAGAAAAGGAATAGATTGGGTTTTAGGTCTTCTCCCCCGTGGAGATCCAGCATCTTGGAGGACATGCCATCCCCTGTGGATCTTTCAGTTCAGATAGGGAACCACAGGAAATATTTCCTTGGCTAGAAACCTGGTCACATGATGATCTCACTTTCTCAGACTGGGCAGGGGGAAAACGTAGCTTGTGTCTCATGGATTTTCTCAGAGATCTAGACCTCCCACATTGGCGGAGAGGAAGTTCTCTCAACTGAGGCCAGATACCCATTGTTCACACGTGATACTTCATCTTATTTTGGTTTTTACCGGAACTACAAGAAAGAGATCGAGAGTCGTAATCAGGCCCACGCTAGCCAACAGGAGAAGTGTCCTCATTTGGAACTGTACTCTGGGCAATTCTAAAGCAAGAAGGAAATCTACAGTCTTAAATGGATTTATTAAAAAAAACCAGTGTGGTTTCAGCATTCAACCTGAGGAGCTGGAGTAAAACCCAGTGGATGGCACAGTGTCATTAATGGATGCAAAGTCAGACTGGAGTAAAGTCTTGGATGTGATAATGCGATAACAGCAAGTGACTTCTTCCGTGTTGACTCTGTATCCATCCAATGTCATTGAAACCCCAAATTTCAACAAGAAGAGCCAAGACACCATTAAGGCAGGACCCAGCAGGTGGGCTTACCAGACACCCATTTATTTCAAGTGGTGGTGTGCGATCTGCATGGCAATATAAAAATAAACCAGCAGAACAGGCCCAGAAGCACACTTGTGTACTTATGAGGGCTTGAGGTACTGCAGAGCTACCGTTAGAAAGGAGTGAGGAAAAGATGGACTTGTTAGTGAAAGGGGCTGGCTTCACTTCTCTGTGGGATGGGGAGTAAAATCAGATCGTGGCTTTACAGCAGCCACAAAAGAGTCTGGGTGAATCTCTAAGTGTAAAAACAAAACAAAGAACAAAAACCGCACAATTTTTAACCTGACACCGTAGGTGTAAGGAAGATTTTCTCAACAGCAGCAGAACACACAGAGGATATATTGAAATTCGAAATTTGCGTACTACATGGGGGGCCTAGGCGGCTCAGTTGGTCAAGCGTGCGACTTGGGCTCAGGTCATGATCTCACAGCTCGGGAGTTCGAGCCCCGCGTCGGGCTCTGTGCTGGCAGCTCAGAGCCCGGAGCCTGCTTGGGATTCTGTGTCTCCCTGTCTCTCTGCCCCTCCCCTGCTCAGGCTCTGTCTCTCTCGGTCTCAAAAATAAACATTAAAAAACCAATCTGAAATTTGTGTACTGCGGGATGCCATGTACAAAGTTAAACAGGTATCCAAGGAGACAGAAGGAAGTTAATTGCATCTCTGTTTATAATAGTAAAGGTTGGAAAGTACTTAAATATCCACTGACAGGATGATGTTGTTGACGTATTCAAGCAGGAGAATAAGACTTTACAGCACTTAAAATCACCAACTATTATGTATCAACATGGAGAAATCTCCAAAACGGTGTGGAAGGCAAAAAGCGACTCTTAGAATGGTATGTACGTTCTTGAACATAATGTTCTTAAAGTCTAAGAACATTGCCAAATAATGCTGTGAGATTGAATCCCAGGAAATGGCCATTTTTGTAGGTTAAAAAAAAAAAAAAAAAAACAGCCCGAGACCAGCATCTTTGCCAAGTTCAACCTAGTATTTGTGGATACATTCATGGTAATGACAGACCTGGAATTCAGGACGGCATTATCTCCTTGGAAACGGTGGGGCCGAGGGACTGAGATTCGATATTGAGGAGAGGACATAGGAAAGCTGCGACTTTATGTCTTCCAAAAATTTTTGAAGCGAATACGGCATAGGTCACATTTATTACAAGAGTGTGGTGGGTCACAGCCACGCTCCTACTATGCTGTTAAACACTGCTGTGGAACATGTTTGATTTTGTTTCAAGCCAACCCAAGTGTTGATAGAGGTAAAAACTTGTGATCTCATGACATCAGAAAGAAATGGTTGCAAAATGACTAAACCCATTGCCGCTCATTCATCTGAATGTGGCACTTACAAGGCCTTTCGTGTAAAATAAAAAGGTTGAAAAGCCTCTCCCCACACCGGGCGGAAGCCTCCAATTTTATTTTGTTTGATCGTCCTCATGAAAACCATTCATTGAGTACCTCTCTTTCGCTTGCCGTTGTGTTTGGTGGTGGTCAGATGTAGCTCTCTGCCCTCTAGGAAACCCGAAGGCGATGTTCAACTTGATCTTGTTGTTTTTTTTGTTTTTTGTTTTTTGTTTTTTTTTTTTTTTACTTTTTTTTGATGCCCACAGGAACCTGCAAGCCGAGTATGACCGTCTCAAGCAGCAGCACGAGCATAAAGGCCTGTCCCCACTGCCGTCCCCTCCCGAGATGATGCCCACTTCTCCCCAGAGTCCCCGGGACGCCGAGCTCATTGCCGAGGCCAAGCTCCTGCGTCAGCACAAGGGCCGCCTGGAGGCCAGGATGCAGATCCTAGAAGACCACAACAAGCAGCTGGAGTCGCAGTTACAGCGGCTCCGGCAGCTGCTGGAGCAAGTGAGGCGCGCGTCTCTCTCCCGCGCGGCGCGGCTGCCGCGTCCTTTGTCCCCCGGCCCCGGCGCTAGGCAGTAGGGCTCGGGGGCCTTTTCAGAGTGTCACCGAGTATCCATTTCTCGAGTGCTCTGTAGGTGCCTAGCCAAGCGCTGGCTGTCGAGGGCTGTAAGAAGACGAGGGAAACCACTGTATCTTTGTGTGTTTGAGCCACTCGAAATGGAGCTGGGAAATAAATACCGGAAGGTTTCCACCCGTCTCCTAAAAGCGAATGAAGATCGTGCCCTCTTGAAACGGAGTTTTTTTGTTGTTGTTGTTGTTTTTCTTTTTTTTTTTTTGGTTTGAGCAGGGGAGGGACAGAAAGAAAGGGAGACACGGAAGCCGAGGCGGGCTCCCAGCCGTGAGCACAGGGTTCGGTACGTGGCTCAAACTCACGAACCCGCAAGCCGAAGTCGGACGCTTGACCGACTGAGCCCCCCTCCCCGGGCGCCCCGGTTTCTAGTTCTTTTTTTTATTTTTTTTTTTAAATTTTTTTTTTCAACATTTATTTATTTTTGGGACAGAGAGAGACAGAGCATGAACGGGGGAGGGGCAGAGAGAGAGGGAGACACAGAATCGGAAACAGGCTCCAGGCTCCGAGCCATCAGCCCAGAGCCCGACGCGGGGCTCGAACTCACGGACCGCGAGATCGTGACCTGGCTGAAGTCGGACGCTCAACCGACTGCGCCACCCAGGCACCCCCCGGTTTCTAGTTCTTAAAACCTCCCTTTGGAAGCCTCCATTGAAAACCTAGCAAGAGCATGCACTGTGGTAGGCTCTACCCGCACGGAGTCCCAGCTTTGTGGCATTTTTGAAGTTTGAGACGTGTTCCCTCCATCTCGTTACTCAATGCAGAAAAGTATGCATTCTCCATTATGTTTTTGAGGTCTCACATGGTTTCCCCATCGTCACATCACCTTCTAAGTCGTTCAGTCATCAGGTCTCGTGATCTTATAGATCTCCTTCCAATGGAGCGATCATTCCTTTTCAAATGTATAAGGGGGGACAGTTCAGATACAAAGACGTCATCTGCGGAGCTTTATCAACAGCAAAACTTGGCAAGTTTCTAAGTAAAACAGCTTATAATTTCTGAGTCCTGAGTACGCTCATTTTAAACGTATACAATTATTGGAGTGCTTATTATGAAAACTAATTCTGTTTTTTTTTTTCCTGGATACCTTAGCCCCAGGCCGAGGCCAAGGTGAATGGTACAACGGTGTCTTCTCCTTCTACCTCTCTTCAGAGGTCAGACAGCAGTCAGCCCATGCTGCTCCGGGTGGTTGGCAGTCAGACTTCGGAATCCATGGGTAAGTGTCTTAGCCACTCCTGCGGTTTGTTTTCCCTTCGGGGCTGGAAATGGTGAATTGTTTGCTCGGAGGTTCACATCATGAACCGAATCACCTACTGTCTGCTCCGTACAAGGCACGGTCATAAATGTCTTCGGCCTACAAAAGTGAGTCACACGGTCCAGGGCCCCTCAGAGGGCCCGCCGTTCCGTTACTCAGAACAAGGCAACGTGGGACAGCCTGGCTGGCTCAGCCAGTTGAGCATCTGACTCTTGATTTTGGCTCAGGTCCCCATCCCAAGGTCGTGGGGTCGAGCCCCGTGTCAGCTTCTGTGATGAGCCTGGAGCCTGTCAGAGATTGCCTCCCTCCTCCTCTCTCCCCCCCCTTTCTAGAGTAACGAAAGAAAATTGTAAAAAGGAATAAGGCTGTCTAGTCTTTAAGTTCCATTCATTTTGGAGGCCACAAAAGGCTTTACCCTGAATTGCTTTCTGTGAACAGTTTTGAAGGGTGAAGGAGGAAGCGAGCACTCTTTGACGAAGGAATGACGTTAAGTGAAAATGAAGACCTTGGGCCAAGGGCTCAGAACTGCTGTAGAGAAATCTGGTCCAAGCAGGAGGGCAGGAGATAATGCCACAGAGGAAGGCTGGGATCACAGTACAGTGACCTGAGTGTTGGGCAAAGGTATTTGACTCCTACTGGTCAGTGTTGGCGACCCACTGAAAATCCTGTTTCCCGGGTACGCAATGTCTCAAAAGATCTATCCTGGCAGCTGTCTCCGGCCCAGAGGAAAACTTTTATAGGTGGAAAGAGAGATCAAGAGGCAAACAGAAAAGGCCCAGTCACGGGAGTTCAGAGTCTAGGCTTGAGAGACATCAGAGATGGGTGGGAAGACAGGACTGCGAGACTAGGATCTGAAAATACGGTGCCTGGGGCTCCAGGCCTGACTGGGAACCGAGCCGAGGCCACTTGGTTGGAAGAAGATAGTCATCCCTTTGGGGACATACTGTGAGAAACTGGCAGGTCCAAGTCATGTGCAGAAAGGAGTTGAAGCGCAGGTCCGGAACTGGCGTGAAAGGACGGGCTCGGGGATTTGGTGGCGCCTGCCACAGAGTCGACAGCTGCAAGGCGTGAGCGGAGAAGCTGGTCACGAAGGTGCTGGGATCCGGTGTCTGGAGGCAGACCTCCATTTGGGTGACGGGGTAGTGAAGGAGTGGCAAGCAGGTAGGAGGAAGATGCGGGCACAAGGTCAAACGCAGAAACCAAATTACAGCGCGTTGCACCACGTAAATGCACGAGCCACTTCTGAGAAAACATTTGCAGCCGAGATGAGGGAAGTTGGAGGATTTCTGGTCTCTTCGGGGAAGTAAAGGACTGGGTCATCTCGAAGACCAGGGAGGCTGAAGCAAAGCGAGGACGCTCGTGAAACGTGACTAAGTCTCAACAAGGACTGGAGCAGAAGGTGAGTTTGTTGAGGACACGGTCTGGTGTCTTTCAGCAGTGTTCTCTGCTAGGATGGGGTTCGAAGAAAACTGGAGGGCATGAGACATAAATGATGGTAGACGGTCACCAGCCATCTGCCTGTTGGATTTTCCTGCCCTGCTAGACTTCGACATGCGGGGGCGGGTCGTGAAGGCCCCAAACACTTGCTCTGTCCCCCTTCTTTCTCCTTCTCTCTCAAGGCACAGCATGAGGCAGACTCCGTGTTTTCGGTTTCCTTGTCCCTGGGCCGAGACTGGTTATACTTGACCCTCTCGATCTTACCTCCGGGAAGGGAAGAGACGCGTGTTCTCCTTGATCCCTCACCCGTAGACCTCTGGTATCCTGGTGTGTTGACGAATTCATGTTATACTTCATTTATACTAAAGATGTTCCATAGATGAGCATATAGAGAGGCCAAGTGCCCAACCAAAATTGGTGGGACAGACAGGAAGAGTGAAGGATGTGAGTTCTGTGGTGATCAGGGACCATGGTCTGGGAAATTGGAAAGTTGGACATGATGAATGTAAAATGCTTTCAAGCCCTGCCCATGTGAGCTGCTGCTACATGGAGACCATTGAGGGCTGCTTTTCATGGGTTTGAGGAGACCCGGATTGTTGGGCTCTTCAGACGGTAGTGAGGTTCTTAGGAATAGAGGAAGGAAGATGAGGGCCCTGAAGAGGGCAAGAGGGCAGTGGACACAAATCTGATGAATTTTAGGACCTTCAAGTCGTGGGCAGAGTCCTGTGTTCCTCCAGACAAGTCAAATCTCGTAGGAAAGCCAGGTTCCAGTGCTTCTGTGAAGGAAGAGAATGTGTGGGAAGCACTCTTCCTGGCTTTATCGCACCCCCGGGGATGCAGGGCAGTGTCGGCATCAGATTCCCTGTCCCCCCGTGAGATCTGAATACAACTAACGGACGGTTGCGACCGAAAGTGATAGCTCAGCACATGAACAAATACATGTCTTTGAAAAGTCTGTAAACTCCAAAAACAACAGAGGTCGTGGGTCTTCCTTGTTATTTCCCGCTGCAGGATTTCCCCTTCCTTTGAAGTCATAAGCAAAGCATGCGAAACTGAGTTGCATATTTTTAACAAGTGAGATTCAGACCCCTGGGAGCTCAGGAGCATTAATTATCGAGGCCTGTAATCACTGGCCTGTAATCACAAATGACAGTACCCGTCAGGTTGTGGTCCTGACGATTTGGAGAGCCGAGACGGTTGGGGCAGAAGAGCTGTACGTGGTGCCTTTAGGCTAACCGGCTACTGTCAGGTGGACTGGCTGTGTTTTTGGTGTTTGTCCAGCTCTGTAACCATCTTCTCGAAGGGTGCATGCGAGTATGTGAGTGAGTGCAGCCCGATTCTTTCTGGTTTGAGTGTCCGAGCAGCGACAAGGCTGGGAGTTGCAGAACCACGCTGCATTCTTTACAGAGAGTCTCCCAGTGACTTTTTAACGTGTCGTCCCAGGCCACCCGATGAGTTAGAGTGCTTCCGGCATCCGCCAGGTACTCAGCACTGTAAAGTCTCTGCATACCATATGTGGCTTCCCGTACGTTCTGTGACGGGGACAACATCACGAAGCTTACATTGTGTTGGAAGAGACAAATTAACAAAGTCTACCTTCTTTTGGCTTGCGTGAACTACATATACAGGGGTCCGTGACTTAGAGACCAGTCCTAATTGCTGACTACCCCTTACCTTCTTCCCACTTTTTCATCTAATTTGGGTAAAGAGGTTCCCTAGCTTCTTATTCCGAGTAATTTCAAACTATGGCAGAATTGGAGTTAATTGAACATGTTGCCACGTTTGCTTTCTGTGTATACACCTCTGTATGCATACTGTGTATGTTTACAGTGTAAGTGCTTAGTATATGTGTGCAGAGTTTGTTGGTTTGTATATTTAACTGGCGCATTTAATAATTATATTCCACACATAATGACACTTCACCACCTATCTTCTAAGACTAAAGGTCCTCTCTGACAGAATTATCACACAGGAGGGGGGGGCCTGGGTGGCTCAGCCAGTTAAGCATCCGACTTCGGCCAAGGTTATGATGTCCCGGTTTGTGAGTTTGAGCCCCACATTGGGCTGTGCACCGATAGCTCAGAGCCTGCTTCCAATCCTCTGTCTCTTTCTCCCTCTGGCCCTCCCCTGCTCACACACGCACTCGCTCCCTCTCACAAATAGGCGTTAAAAATTGTTTTAACTAAAGAATTATCACACAGGAAATTAACACTGATACAATAGTCTACATAACTGAAATTGAAATAGCCCCAGTTCTGCCGGTAATATTCTTTATAGCTTTCTATTTTTTTTCATTCAGCATCCAGTGAAGGGTCACATTTGCAGTTAGTTCTCATTTCGTCCTAGTCACCTATGATCTAGAACACTCCTCAGTGTTCCTTTCTTCCTTTATCTACCTTCTTTTGATTTTTTTCACTTTCTTGAAGAGTGTGTTACACCACGAAATGCACACATGTATATGTCTGGATGAGTTTGGACATATGCGTCGGCCCCTATTACGACCACAAACAAGGTCCTAAACATGCTGCCCGCCTCCATAAATCAACCCTCTCCTACCTTGTCTAGCCGAGCCCCGTCTAGGCAAGAAGCATTCGTTTTAGAAAGCAAGCACAACACATCCTTGTGTAGACAGAGAAACAATCCACATACTTAACAGGTTTACTTGGAGGTTCTGGTTAAAGATGGCGATAGCAGAGTCCTGAAATTACCTCCTCCCACAGACATACCAAATCTATAACTGCATACCGAACAATTCCCTCTGAAAGAAACCCAGCACATGTCAGTGACTCCTACACATCGCAGACAAACGGCGGGGGGGACAAACACCCCACGTTGAAACAGGTAGGAGAGGCTGAGACACAACGCAATGCCGTCATAAACTCCAGCCCCCGTGTGGCAACACACAACTGGAAAGGAGCTCACAGCTTTCCCGGGGAGAGCTCTGAAGCTTGTATCTGATGCCCCAGCTTTCCAGACTCCTGCCTGAGAGATGGGCCCCCAGAACATGTGGCTTTCAATTCAACAGGGCATGAGTGCAAGATAGCCAAGGGCTCACACGGACTCACCATGGCTAACCCCTCGGGGCTCCGCGCAGGGGCGACAGAGTAAAATACACCCACTCAGGCTTCAGAGAGGCCGCCTTATTTATCACAACAGCTTCAGCCTGAGGAGTAGGCTTCTAACTTAACACACACACAGGGGCCACCTAAAATACTCCCCAGCGAAGGTGGAGGCTGGCGGTTACCATCTTGCTGCCCTCCCGCCTCCTCTCTCCAGGTCACATGCGATCTCTTGGTTTTCAAGGCTGCCACCCAGGAGACACAGAGCTTGATCATCCGGATTCAGTGGCCAGTAGGACTTGTGTTCACAGGTTCGGTGGGATGGTGGCCAACAAAAAAATGTAAACGGCTCTCCCTCGGGGCTCAGAGCACAGGGAACCAACACCCCCTCCCACCTCCCAGTCTTGCCCCGAACAAAGTAGATCCACAGGCTTGAAAAGCTGCTGGCTGAGATCCTCCCCTTTG